TCTCTCTCTCTCTCTCTCTCTCTCTCTCTCCCCCTGCTTGGGAAAGATTTGCTCGACAAATTCGGATTCAAAAATAAATAATAAATATTTAGAGATAATTACATAAAAATCACGATAAACATTGATGTTTACAGATTAACCACTCAAGTGATTTTTTTAAACTACCAAACTTTTATATTTATGTGTGCAGCGACCAAACTATTTCAAATTTAATAAAAATAAAAAATATGGGTCGTGCATCTCTCATGAGCTCAGATATTTGAGTAAGAATTTCAACATGGATGAAAAAAGATATGATTTGTAAATAGCAAGTTTCGGGTGGCCTGTATGATAGGTAATTTAAGATATTTAATTTTACCTCTCATTTATTTTTCGACCAAAATTTAAATGGCGAAGAATATCTCGATGGATGAGGGTTCGGGCTGTTATAAATGATATTTAAGTATTACACCAACATGTTCGGACTGTTATAAATGATATTTAAGTATTACACCAACATGAATATGAGTACTAAGTTTTATGCATAATAATGTACAATACCATGAGAGCCACCTACTGAACTCAATATGAGACAAAGTGCTACATGTTGGGAGCCACCTCTTGAATTTGTATAATCTACCTCTAGAATTCCGTTACATGTTAATTTTTAAATGAGCAGCTTATTCAACTTTTTTAATTGTGCATGTTAAGCATGTAGATAAATAATTACCTTAGTTCAAAAGCTTATTGAACATTCACAAGACGAGATAATCAGTTTAAATTTAAAAATTAAAATTTTAATTATATAAAGTTTTTAAACAAAGCATAAAATCCCAACCCTTCATTTAAACAACAACGGCGATAAATCTCTCTAATGTGGGACTAAATGCATGTAAGGAAGATAAAAATTATAATTGCATTAAATGATATTAATATAAGACTTCATATTAAAACCTAGGGTTATCTTGTTATTTTTTTACTTAAATACTTTTATATTATTTTTGACAATAATACAAAGAAAGTAATTTAATTTCAAATTTGATTTTAATAATAATTTATATAAGTGATAATATATTTTTGGTTTTATTTTTATACTAGGTTGTAAGTTAATATCAAGTCTTAGTTGAGTCTCTTAACAAATTTGTTTATGAGCTTTAAATGATTTTATTAACAACTTTAGTGAATCGAATAATAATGTGTTAGACTTGTTCATTTAATAATTGGTTATTTATAAAATATATAAAATTTTGTAATCAGTTAATTAAAAAATCATGATTACACTCTAAACGAGTCGATCATTGAGTTGTGTCAATTACTTTATTCATTTACAATCTATTGATGGTGTACGTCAAGGCCAACAAGGAATGATAATGTTTAGATGTTGACGATGTGACAGCCGTGTAATAGTGGTGTCTATTTGTAATGGCTAGATGATTGTGATTAGAAGAAGATGTTATTGGGGTGGTTCAATGCCAAAAACGGTATTTGGACTATTACTCAACCATAGTGATGGCTCCATGGATGTTGCGACGATGATTCAACTGTGGTGGATGGGTGGAGCTTAAATTTTCTCCTTGAAGTCTAGGTTCTTCCTCCTCTTGAAATGGAGAGCTTTGATATATTTATAGATTTTTGGGTGTAACATGCGTCATAAATATTGAATAAGTTATTCCCACAATTTAAAATATTTGAGTGTTCTAATAATGTTGAAATTAAAGATCATTTTGGTCATCAATTTAATTCCCCAAAATTTCCTATTATGCTTCAAATAATTAATCGTAAGATTGTCAAAAAAAGTTTGTCGTTTGTGAATAATTCATGTTCAGTTTTTTAAGCAGCTATCTTTGATTCGTTAGTAAAGGGAACCGGACATGAGTAACTTTTTGAGCTCAATTTACAAATGAGTTAAACTCGAAAGAACTTTTTGTTTAGTTTTGGCTTATTTTAGCTCGAATTAATTAAATAATGATATAAAAATATTAAGTTTTATTATTATTCCTCAGATTATTCAGACTAATTTAGAGCCGAACACTACAGACAACGGGCTTATTTGGAGCCAAAAAAAAAAAAAAAAAAACGCCATTTCAAGGGTATTTGATAGGAGAAAATATTACGTAGTAAATATAGGAAACCATATTCTTAGTGTACTGCTCTCTCATTAATTAGTATTATTTTCTCATCGAGCAGAGCTTTGAAAGAATGATATCTATCATTGAGTGTCCTCTAAAGTCCGTTAATGTGAACACAAATTTAAGCCGTCGTAGCTGATAAAAATCACATATCAATTCGTCGCATCTAGGGGTGTAAATGAGCCGAACACGAGCGAGCCTAGGCTCAGTTGGTGTTCGGCTCGTTTATATTTCAAGTTCAGAAAGTGTGTTCGTGTTCGGCTCGTTTGCTTTGCGAGCCGAACACGAGCCGCTCAGGGATGGGGCAAGATTTAAATTTTATTGTTTATATTAAAGCATCATTTAAATATAATTTAATATATTTTAATCTATTTTTTATTTAATAGTTTTAATAGATTATAAATCTGTATAGCTTTTTAGTCAATTAATTTTTTTTAAAAATACTACTCATCAAAGATATATATATATATATATTGTTGAGTGTGGAGCCCAGTTATAATATAATAAATATATATGCTTTTTGCCATTTCTGTAACTACTCCCGCCTATTTGCTTGTGCCTAAGGAAGGTGGGTCTAGCGAACAAGCCAAACACGAGCTTTTTAACGAGTTGAACACAAGCTGTTCGTGAACAACGAGCCGTTTTGACGCATCAGGCTAACGGAGGGGCCCGCATCATGCTCGGATGATTTTACCAAATGGCCTTGTATTTTTTTAATAATTACTCCAACTTTTAACAGAATGGCTTTTTTCGGCCAATCAAATAAAAATTTGAACATAATTAATTTTAAAATTATTCCATTCATTTGTGACGAAGCTAATTAAACATTAGTTATTCATTTTTATTTATTATAAAGAAAATTTAAAAGAGTTAATTTATTTTAAGCATAATTTGGTCACTATAATGTTTTCTAACATCTTTCTGATTCTGTGGGCAATTTTTTTAATGAAGAGCACTAAATATAGCTTTGTTGATTTTTATTTTGTTTAGGATCACGCCCATTTACCTGCTTGATTACAATTGTATTCGAGTTTACGGTCTTTTCATTCACAGATAACAAAGGTATACGCTGACTGACTCCAATGAGAATGTTAGGCTTAAAGATTGTATTTGTGTTGAATTTAAATATATATGATAGACCATCCCCAAGGAAAAGAGCGTGAGACTGAGAGAAGAGATTGTGGGAGGGAGTGAGTGAGTGAAGAAGAGAAAGAGAAGAAGAGGAAGATTTGCCCCCTCAGGAGCGAATCGAAGTATTCTCGGGCGGAAGGAAAACCTTCTGCTAGCTTCCAAATAATGGGAGCTCAAAAAATCTCTTTACATGAAATGATCATTCTATTTATAGATTATATGATGGACAAAAAGTAAATTACAATATTACACTTGATTTAAAAAAGGGTAGTATTGGATATTTTAGTCTTTTGTATTTGTGATCGTTCGAAAGGAAAACCTTCTGCTAGCTTCCTTCTCTAACTTCCTTCATCCGGAGGGAAAAGTCCTCCGTCGTCATCCTCAGTTCGAAGGGAAAGATTCTCCGTCGACATCTTCTGTTAGGAGGTAAATGTCCCTCATCTGAGTCCTCCATTGGGGGGAGAAGTCGGCTAATGGTAGCTAATTTGGCAGAGGCAGATTGCAGATAATCTCGAGATTCGTGCAGATCATTTTTGAATATATAATTTAGATATGTATCTCAATGATATTAAATTAAGAAAATTAAAAAAAATATAAATTTTAATAATCACACAACGAAATCAGATAGGGATTGGAGAAGAGATATCTATTCAAGGGTCTCTCCATTTTGGGATCATCATTTTTAATGTGTTGAATTTCATTTAATTCTCTCTATTTATAATGTTCGGGCAGGATTTAATGAAATGACGCTTTTAAGCCTATTCTATTCTAAAGTTTTAGGTTCAGATATTTAAGTTCTAATCAAATGTCTATTCCCCTAAAGTTTGATTTCGAGTATTTTTTTTTGGTTGCTCATTTTGAGGTGACCAACTTCGATTGTTTAGCTTCAATCACTCAGTCTCGGCGGCTTCGATCGCTCCGCTTCAAAATCTCAGCCTCAGGGATTTGGCATATGACTCCAGTCAATGGCGTGGGCAACCTAAACAATTTGATTAGAAACACTTGATAAGATTCCATACTTCCAAAATAAAACCAAACACCATTATTTTAAGATCTCTCCTTTCCATCCATTGCAATCTCAAATAGGGTAAAAGAAATGGCCAACATTCCATTCCAGATATTATGCAGCAGATTTCACAGACAGAAAATTAAAAAGCAAAAAATTACATCTGAGAGAAAACTAAACACCACTGTCTTTTTTACATAAATATAAATATAATCATTCATATTGGAACACACACACTCCAATTTCAATGCTGAACCCGCACGAACATATTGGAACACACACTCCAATTTCAATGCTGAACCCGCACGAACCTCAAAATGATGGCTTGGCAGCACAGACACTACGGATGCCAGGTGGATGGATCGAAGGCTTAATGGCAGCATTAAAAAGGTGGCCTTTTTTTTTTTGTACAGGGATGAAGCTTAGGAAGGTGAAGGTGCTGGATCTGCGACGCGGGAGTAAAGCAGAGCGCTAAGCTGCTCCTGCGTATACCCACGCCCCGACATCTTAACTGTTGCTTGCTGGATCATGAGATCCTTAACGGCCGATACGCTGGCGTAGTATAACTCCAGATCCAGTTCCTTGAGCGCCGCCATCAACCTCGCCGCAGGGTGGTTTCGTTTATTGCACTGCAAACGAATCATCGCCTCCGCACCGAGTATCTTCACCTCAATTTCTACACCAACGCACCGCCCATTGCCGCTCCCCATTCTCGCTTCCTGATCCTGCATCCGGACTGGCGCCGCATCGCGCTCCTTTTTGAGCGTCTCTACAGTCGATGCCAGTCCGTCTTTCTCGTTCTCCAGAGTTTGAAGCTTTGAACGGAGTTCCTTGATATAGGAGATTGCGTCGGCGAGGAGCGAAGCCTTGTCCATCTTGGAGACGTTGGGAACCACGGCGCGGAGGGCGTAGAAACGCTGGTTGAGTTTCTCTCGCCGCATCCGCTCGGCTTCCACGTGGTTGAGGGGTTCCTCTCGGCCGTTGGCTGGCTTGCGCCCACGCTTCTTCGGCCGTTTCTCCGGCTCCACTGCTCTGCTGCTTTCCACCTCGCGAACGGATGCCTCTAGATCTGAGTGGTCGGAGTCTTCGGTGGTGGCCAAGGGTTTCTCCTGACCGGCTGAGACGAAGGAGAGCATGCCTTCGTCGTTGTTTGAGGATTTCTTCCTCTTTTTCTCGTTAGAGAGGAATCCGGTAGTAGCGGGAGCGGGGGAGGAATTCCTTTCGCCGAAATTTAGAGCGTCACCGGATTCCAATTTGAAGGACTGGCGAGGGCCGGCGCTAGTTATTCCAAAATCAGAGATATTGAGCTCTCGGGTGTAAAATGAAGCCGGTTGCTGCAGTTGTTGGGGGCTTTGCGGCTGTGGTTGGGGAGGAATCAATGTGTGGGTTTCAGTGAGACTACTGCTGCTAGGGTTATCCAAATAAAATTGTGGTTTTGAAACAGAGATTTCGGCGATTGCAGGACATGCGGAATCCTTGATCTCGATAAAGGATGGATCCGATATCCACATCACAGAGGGATCGGTATCACCATGGTCGGGCATCGCCGGCGTGACTGGCTGCGATGGGAGCCACGATCCTGCCTCCGGGGCCTCGAGGTTGTTGAAATTGAACAGGATCTTGATCCGGTTCATCATCTCGGCGCTGTAGAAGATCAACTCCGTCGATCCGAGCTCGAGAACACCGCTTTCGATGGGGACGCAGACCATGCTCTGCAGCCCGAGTACATGGGCCTGCTTCACGCGCTCGCAAGACGCAACGGCGATCCGGTCCTTGCCGGCTATCCAAGAAGGGGAGCCGGTCAGAAACGCCTGACCTGGGAGACCAGAGCCGTTTACGAACGACTGTGTCATCGATACGAGGAAGAACCACTCGGTATCAGAGACCTCCTCCTCCACAGCACCGTCCGGCGACGATCCGGCGCCAGATATCAGGAAGTTGAGTTCCCGAAGCACGCTCTTC